AGCTAGTGCAGCGTTAGCTAGTGCAGCAGCAGCTAGTGGAGTGTTAGCTAGTGCAGCAGCAGCTAGTGGAGTGTTAGCTAGTGCAGCAGCAGCTAGTGCAGCAGCAACTAGTGCAGCGTTAGCTAGTGCAGCAGCAGCAGCGAGTGGAGTGTTAGCTAGTGCAGCAGCTCCCGCAACAACACCGGGGGACCTCCGGGCGAAGTTTGGGTCTACGTCAACCCTAAAAGCGGAGGTGCTGTAGACGCTAAATACCGCAGCTAAACACCAATCATACAACAGCAACGATTAAATAGTGTATCCAAGGCAGCAGAGCTCAGTCTGAATATAGCTCTTGTCACTCTCTCTCAGAGACACACACACACACACACGCACGCGCACACACACACACACACACACACACACACACACACACACACACACACACACACACACAAGGGCTGCTCGATTATGGCAATAATCAAGATTATGTTGGTCAATAATTAATATCACGTTTATTAAATATGATTATTCATTGACTTTGAAAACATCCATTTATTGAACTTTAAAACAAATAATAATTTGAACAGTATCTTTTTAACTGTTGATTGCCCTGAACGTATAATTCAACTGAAAAACCAATACAAAAATTAATTAAATAAATGATACATTACTAAAAAATTCATTAGATCAAATATGTTGTGGTGCACTGTCACAACCTAGCAAAGCAAAATAATCGTTTTTTCCGATTATGTTGTTTTCGTAATTGTGGCAGGCCAAAATCGTAATTGCGATTAAAATATGATTAATTGCACAGCCCTAACACACACACAGACGCACACACATACACACACTTTTTGTCTAACACGCTAACACAGTTCTGTACTGTTGCGCTGTTGTGTTCAGTCATTGTTCTTATGTTGAACATGAATACATTTACTTTGTAAGTGATTATGGGACGTATTTCTTCTTTATATACATTTTCCTTCATACTTTATTGCCGTAAAATAGGTCTTAAATTCTATTCAAAGTGGTCTTAAAAAGGTGTTAAAAAGTCTTAAATTTGAGTTGGCGAAACCTGCAGGAACCCTGTACAATAAAAAGTCCTGCATTCAAAATGTTACAAGTAAAAGTACAAAAGTATTAGCATCAAAATATACTTAAAGTACCACCTGCAGAGGGATCTAGATTCAGGTGTTCTTTTCCCCATAGAGACCGCCTGGCTGCACATTATCCCTTGCATAAAGATAGATTGTGGGTCCCTTATAACATGTTGTACACAGTGGAAATAAACATTCTGGTTGACTCAACATCAGGGATCTTATACATTAAACTCCTTCTGAATCAAACCGTCACGGTAGCCTTACCTTACTGATCCCTCTTAAATTAGAAAAACACACGTTACTTTACCAGCAGAGAGAAAATGGATTATTAAATTATTAATGTGACTAATAAAGAGCTGTTTGATTATTAAGTATTATTCTGTTGATCGATGTCATTACATTTGGTGAAAAACACATAATGACTTGTTTATGACTCGTTTTGTCAAAGTTTAGGACTTGACTTGACTTGAACTTGCCCATCCTGACTTGAGACTTGACTCGGACTTGCAAACCAATGACTTGAGACTTGACTCGGACTTGAGCGCAAAGACTTGAGACTTGACTCGGACTTGCAAACCAATGACTTGGTCCCACCTCTGGTATTTGGACATGCTTTTAGATTGAAGTCTTCCATATGAACCAATGGACTGAGTGCCACAGACAGGATCATCCATCATGTCAGAAAGCATTAATAGACGGACTCAAATATTGTTGTTTTCTTGTCTCGTTAAAGGTGGGGTAGGTCATTTTGGAGAAACCAGCTCGAGATCGCTAGAATTTGAAAATACACAGCCGGAACAAATCTGCCACTTCCTTACAGAGCCCCTCCTCCAACACACACGAACGCGCACATGACCAATGAGGGCACGAGATAAGTTTGTGCACAGATGGAAGGCTGACAGGCAGGTAGGCCATCCAGTTACTTTAGCCGGGCCGGCTCAGATGATTGGTTGTACTTTTTACAGCGCTATGGCTTCCACAGATGATATGTTTTTATGGATTTTTTGTCAAAGCACTTAAGATATTCATCGCTATCGGGATGTTAAGAGCATTCCATGGAATATAACAACAAGTGTATCACGAGCCGGTTTCTCAAACTGACCTACCCCGCCTTTAAGGGATTTGTTTCCACCAAAATAACATGGTCACAACATCACCCATCCTAAACATTCAGTTTAATGTTTGCATGAGAAGACCTTTAGCAGAAACATGATCAAGGAGAAACTTACAATTATGAGCATAAATATGAAAAGCAAGCCGAATAACAGTGAAAAAGAACTCCCGATCCATGCGTTGTGTCAGTGATTAGACAAGTATGTAAATCTACAGCGCTCATTAGCGGCCCTATGAGGGCCATACATAATGTGTGTGCATAAAACGTCTCATTAGGAGTCAACTGTGATTTCTTCTTTGAATGTTTTGCCATCCAGTAATGTGGCGTGTGCGAGATGAGGAATGAAAGCCTAACATTCAAAATGTCACAATGTGACTTTTAAAGAATAAAAGAAGAAGAAGAGGTGAACAGAGAGGACAGGATGTTTTTGTTTCTTCTGCTGCAACCTCATGTAAGCCTTGTGTAATTGCTGGGCGCGGTAGTGTGTGTGTGTGTGTGTGTGTGTGTGTGTTGGGGGTGTACATATTATCTCTTCAACCATCTCTGCCACACCATAACACACCCAATTCACACACACACGTGCACACACACATTTCCTGCGCTGCCCCGTGCTCCAAATCCCTCAGACTGCCAGCCTAAGCAATACACACACACACACACACGCACACATACACACACAAAGGGGGATTAGATAGACAGACATGCAACTTACTACACACACACACACACACACTCTCTCTCACACAAACACGCCGTTTATGCCCCCATTTTTTCTCTCATTTTGGTTTTGCAGTTCTTGTCTTCTTGTCTCTGTCTTGCATACTCACACTGTATGCAAACAGCAACACACGTAAATGTTGAATCTGTGTGTGTGTGTGTGTGTGTGTGTGTGTGTGTGTGTGTGTGTGCATGTGTGTGTGTGTGCAGGGATATGCCTCCATGCAAAATAAAGCACAGGGTGAACGGCCTGCGGAGTGTGTGTGTGTGTGTGTGTGTGTTTCTCTTTCTGTTCCTCTACTTTCTGTCCTTTTAAGGCAGTTAGTGACTGCCCTCTTTCTCTCTCTTGCTTTCCTTCCATTATATAGCTCCCCTCTCTCCTCTCATTTCTCCCCCCCCCACCACTCTCTTTCTGCAGCTTTGTTTTTCCATTTCGTCTCCCTCCTATCTCCCCCTCAGCACCGTGGCGAGAGCCCATCCATATAAGTCGTTTCTACCCAGTATTGAGCTTGAAAATCTCATTTTTATCCAACCAAGTGGAGAAATCTGTCAACGGGTAAGATCATCCCACTTGTTTCCAATGCAAATCAATTTACGTCAAGATTCTTTATGCACTCAAGTGCCACGCTGGAATCAAGTGTGATGGAAGTGACTCTCCTCCCGTGTTTCACGACACGGCTTTTATGTTAGGAAGACATTTATGACAAAGAAGTTGAAGCTGCAATAGAAACGAGGGAAGTTATCTGGTCTCTACAGGCAGATTTATTCAACAGCTTACGCATTAAGATATTTAGAATTTAGATTCGGAGTGCCTTTTTGCTTCTTCCATATAAGAGCATGTGCTGTCCTCGTTTGCCTTGTCTGGCGTGCAAGAGTTTTCTGGCCAAAGTGCGGCTGTCTGCCAACACTGGCTCTGCTGTCACACTGGAGCAATTCCCCAGAGAGTATCGACGCCCTATCGATTGTTTTTACCCCCATCCTCAGCCCTCACATGCCATCACAACACCAGTGACGACTGTAGCATCGAGGGATGAAAGGGACGCTGGGAAATAAAAGGAGAAAGGAGGGGATGTGTGGTAGCTGCATGAGAAAGCTGCGTTTGAAATATCTCCACACCCCACCAGCCGCCTTTCTCCTCAAGAGCGGCTGAAATGTGAGCTCTTTGTGAAAACGCCATAAGAGCATTTCGAGTTCACACATTGAGCGAACAAAGCAAAAGAAAAAGGACGGGAGGGATAAAAGGCAACAGAAAGGGCAGGGAGAGGTAGATATGGCATGAAAAGGGGTATAGGTGGTACAGAGAGGTGAGAAAATATATCTGTATCCTCGTATTTTTCCCTCTCTTTATAGTATTTTCCTAATCCCCAGGAGAGAGAATGCAACACTTCCCTTTTTGAAGGATTAAAAAAAAGCGTATTTCTTAGCTTGCAACAATTGGCATTGTTCAGTGAAGAAAGTCGGGCCCGGCTGCAGAGGAGGCTGAGATAAAGAGTGCAAAGGCAGCTGAGCGCCAGGATTAGACTGATGTATTATTTCACCAGGGGTCGATTACGGCCTCTTTACAGAGATCCAAAAGCATCCACCTCTGAGATGTAATGGAAAATCCTGCCTGGTTGTTTGTAATGGAATACATTTCTGCAATTACTGGTTTTGTATCAGATTTCGGACCAGATAAATCGTTTCAGGACGAACTTAAAAGGATCATACCAACATCTGTCAGTCCATTAAATCCGTCTTTAGGGGTTGGATTCGGCCGCAGGAAGGAAATAAATCTAGATACATTTTTTGTGTCAGATTCAACTTTGGTGAACATGCACATTTGGATGTTCATTGATAGCAATATGTTTTGATAGCACTGATCTTAAAGGCAACAGAAAGCCTGCTGATAGCACATCTGATTTTGAGCGTTATCAGCGGATTTATAGGCGTTTTCGTGCTTATCGCTGCTTTCAGAATACGTCAGATTGGCCAAATTGCCCACAAAATAACTACTACCAAAAGTATTTCTTTAAGTCTGGCATTCACTGCAAAGTTTCAGCGCCCCCTGAGGTCTAACTCCTCGAAAAGTCAGTATTACTCTGCTCACTCACCCTGGTATCGAACAGTCTTGCGTGGGATTGGGTTCCAGTTGAGACCAAGAGACTTCTCCCATCCAACCAGAAACACCAGGAGCAAGACCTTCGTCCCGCCCGTGGCTCCCATGTCGGCTCCTATTGGTCGAGACTGCCTCTGAGTGATGGATGCAGGGATCAATCGGCTGATCGGAGGGACTCGAGAGAGAGAGCAGCTCCTGGCAGCCTGCCGAGAGAAAGAAAAATCAACATCACATGAGCTGGAAGCACGAGTCACTTCTTGTATTGGCCTGCTTGTCTATCAGACAATTTCCTCAGTGTTTACAACTTTCCCACCAGAAAGCCACACCGGACCGTTCACACATTCAAGCTGCACCCAAAGATAAGTCTTCTTTTAAAATGAATTAAAGTGAATACGCCTCAACAGAACAACATTTTAATGACTTTAGGTCTGGAAGGATTCCTCTGTCCATCCCTCACTCTCTATAGTATATAATAATCCAGCTATTGCTACTCAAAAGGTTCAGGAAAATAGCTTCACTGCACTCCTGTCAGGACAAATCAGCAGCAGTATATTAAGCTGGGTTATCAAAGTTAATTGGAGCTGGCAATGCATCAGACGCCAATGTGTCGGGGAATGAATGTCGAGGCAAGGACAATCCAGTGTTGTAAATGAATTGGTTTATACCTAATGAACTTGTCAAGAGCGCGGCCACAGAGCGACATCAGAGGAAAGGATGATGGACTTGTTACACTACTGCAGGTGAGACAGATGCACGGGGCCAGAGGGCGGATCTATATTAAAGGCGTCCTAATTGCTAATGTTTATGTTTCTAATTGCTGTTTACATGCTTTAATGTTCAAAAAGTGCTTTATTTATCTGCTCTGATTGGTTAGCTGGCCGGCTCTGTTGTAATTGGTCAACCGCTTAGAGATGTCCCGCCCCTATCACGTCCATTTTGTTTTGCTAATAAAAGCGTAAGTAGAGTCCAACCAACGGGTCAAATGGAGGCGTTTCAGGAAGTGGGGGAGTCTAAAAATACTTCATTACAATTCCTGAGTACAAAATGTTACTTTAGTCATTGTAAAAAAAGGATTATCAGCAAGATGTATGTGACGTATACAAAATAAGATGCCTTATTATGCTAAATGGCTCTTTTAATATGTTTGTGTTATGTTAGTTTGTATAACTTACAAATACAAGTGTTTTCAAGTTGTTATTGGTCAATGTGGAGCATAGTTTGGACATGTGTTGTACTACTGAATAGATTAGCTAAATAAAATGACATGTAAATTAATGTAATTAGTAATTTACGTGACATCAAGTACACAATTGTTACTCTATTGGTCAGATACAGGAAGTGAGTCAAAACACAATATGTCCTTTTGAGCATTAGAGGACTTACAGTATAAAGTACCTCAAAATTAAACTTTAGTACAGTAGTTAAGTATACGTACTAACTGCACTGAGATGCAGCAGATGACACACTATCATGTTCGTTTGACGCTTGTGAGGACCAGCAGGCACTTCAGATTTAACGGTGTCACATCGTCATTAATAATGAACTCAGTGACATCCATTAGTGCCATAAATGTGTTGAATGAAAATGAAACATGTCACTAATTAAAAAATCAACCGTGAGCAGCTTTATATAAATTCATTTAGCAGAGTGCTTAGGTGTGAAAATAACCTTTTTAATAATTGTTTTAATAACATTGGACTGCTGCCATTAGTAGATTTGCTGTCGCCACCTGTGCTGACAAACCTCCATTTCCAACGATGCCAAATAGGAGATTACACAGCTTTGAAAGACATAACATGTTCTGATTGTTTATATATAAATCTGCTAGTGCATAATTGTATTCATTAACAAAATGTAGACTGATTTCAGAGTTAGAGGATGTAAGTAAATCCGTACAAATGATAAATGACCTGTTTTATTGGACCGAGTTGTGATATATTGTAATGTTTTGAAGTTATAAAATGTATTTCAATGGAATTTGTTTGTGTTGTTCGCAGCAGTGTAAGTTAATAACAACATCTTAAGGCTTCGGTATGCTTTAAATCAGTGGTTCCCAACCTTTTTTCCCAGGAGCCCCCCCAAATGACTCCTGTTGGAAGGGCCGCCCCCCCCACACACACTCACGGGGGGTCTCAAAAATGCTACAGCTACTGTCACAAACTGGATGAATGTGAAGTATTTTGTTAAAGGAGGATGAAAGCGTAATTAAGGAGCACTATTGGAGTGACTTTGATGGTTATGGGACTCAGGATTAATTCATTTGGATTCCCGCTGTATGAAGAAATTAAAGGACGGCGCAAGTGGAAACAATTCACAAAGGGATTAAACTGTTTAAAATACATGTTCAAAGTAAGGCCTGGCGCCCCCCCTGCGATCTTTGGCGCCCCCCCAAGGGGGAACCACTGCTTTAATGAACCTTGCGATGTGATGGATTGTTAGTTTCTATTCAGCATCCTCAAATGCCTTCACTACCTCCGCCTGACTGCTTGTACAAATGCACATCAGACTTTATCCTTGAAGGCATTCATGGTGTTACACTTGCAAAATGGTACCCGAAAAATGAACGGGTGGACAACGTGATTTGGGCATTAGAAATTGGGTGTCAGACCCTGTTCAATAATCTGATAAACGCCATGTTTGAAGCCCACCTTATCGACTAAACACTGTGTCCGAACTTTCCACATAGGGTCCTTTTTCCTCAGTATCTCCAGCCAGGCTTTTATTTTAGTAACTGGAAGGGAAACTGTTTCGTTTAAATGTCATTTTTAAACGCTGCGAGTACCACAAGAAAATGAATGTTCACTTTTTCAAATGGCAAACACATCTCGGAGAGGGATATAAGGAGGGCATAAAACCAACACCTATCAGCATGGCTAGATACAACTGGGAGTAGTAAAATGGAAAATGTTATTTTTTTTGTATTATGGGTGAGATGACCCCTTTTATTTGAATGTAAGGTGACCTTCAGTAACTCACTGACCACAATCTAAAGGAAGTCTAATGACTCTGATCTTAATACTGAACTAAAACCACTGTACACACAAACAAATATGAATCTTTCTTAATGTTTGTATTCTCACGAGGACCAGTTATCCTCTTAATTGGAATATAAAGGTGCAACAACACACACACACACACACACACACACACACACACACACACACACACACACACACACCACACACACACACACACACACACACACACACACACACACCACACCCACACACACACACACACACACACACACACACACACACACACACACACACACATTGGAGAACACATCCATTGACTATTAAACAGGCACAAAATGTCAAACTATATTTACTCAAACCTGACACAGACAGAAAACACCTCTCTACGTGGAGCACATTAAACATCTCCTACTTTCTCTCCCTCATATTCCCACAAGTGAATATTTAATTCCAGTTCTTGCAAGAAAAAAAAGCCACTTGACCTATTTGAGGATTGGCAGGGGAGGTCATTGAGATTTGAAGATGTGTGTGTGCCCACGTCCAGCAAATAGGACTGTTATTGATTACACTTTTGAAGGAAAATCAGAAGAGGCCTAGAGAGGAGAAATCAGACACCCCCCCCCCAGATCAGATCATAGCGTGGTGCTGTTCAATGAGCGTGCTTAAACGCTGGGCTTGGGAGAAGGCTCTTCAAGCCTCGCAGTGTCGTCTAGCAGCTTTATTGGATCGATGCTGGAGGCCCTCGCCGGCCAACGCTTCAGTGAGCTAAGATTGAGATGGAGATTGAAAGGAGGGGAGGGAGGGATGAAGCTTTGAAATAATTTAAAGGGAGACTTATGGAGAAATAATACAAAAAAACACGTTGCAGGAGGCTTACAGTTCTTATTTTTTCCCTCCCTCAACATCCCCCCCTCCATGTCTGCGCTGAGAGGTTACCAAGTGGAGTGCGCATCCTGAAGGCCGGATTAAGTGGAGAGGCAGTGTGTAAATACTTCAGGGGAGGATGAGGAGGAAGAGGGAAGTGGAGGAGAAGGAGATGCAAGGCTCCTGACTGAGAAAATCATCAGTGCACACCTCTCTGTTGTTTCCTCTCTTTGCTGCCTCTCGCTGCTTTTCTTTCATTCAATCTCCCCTTCTCTGACAGTCACCAGCAGAACAACAATATCTTTCCAAAAGCATTGAACCATTTATTGATTTACAAATGTAGAACATAATGGTATCATCATCTCCTTTCTGTCTGTCCTTGACGTTGCCTTTTCAGCTATTGTAAGTTGAAAACGTTGGTATTGATAGAGATATGTGAGACTCTCAAGGGACTGCTGCAACCTGCAAGGTCACATGACACTGGGCTACTCGTGTGTACTTGTTTGCTTGTGTACTTGTTCTGTATAATGGGCTTCATAGAAACAAAGCTGTTAACAGTAGTGCCTTTACAGATGCTCTCGCTGCAGGTCTTAGCATCAGATTTCACCTGCAAGGATCGATTCAATATCAAATTACACTTTCCGTACTACTGCTGCATTATCACAGTATTCTTAAAGGGGCCCTTTTATGCACATGTTCAGGTGTATATCAGTATGTAGTGTCTCTACTTTAAAGAGTCCTCTCCTGCTGATGTTCAGGTGTATATCAGTATGTAGTGTCTCTACTTTAAAGAGTCCTCTCCTGCTGATGTGCAGGTGTATATCAGTATGTAGTGTCTCTACTTTAAAGAGTCCTCTCCTGCTGATGTTCAGGTGTATATCAGTATGTAGTGTCTCTACTTTAAAGAGTCCTCTCCTGCTGATGTTCAGGTGTATATCAGTATGTAGTGTCTCTACTTTAAAGAGTCCTCTCCTGCTGATGTTCAGGTGTATATCAGTATGTAGTGTCTCTACTTTAAAGAGTCCTCTCCTGCTGATGTTCAGGTGTATATCAGTATGTAGTGTCTCTACTTTAAAGAGTCCTCTCCTGCTGATGTTCAGGTATATATCAGTATGTAGTGTCTCTACTTTAAAGAGTCCTCTCCTGCTGATGTTCAGGTGTATATCAGTATGTAGTGTCTCTACTTTAAAGAGTCCTCTCCTGCTGATGTTCAGGTGTATATCAGTAGGTAGTGTCTCTACTTTAAAGAGTCCTCTCCTGCTGATGTTCAGGTGTATATCAGTATGTAGTGTCTCTACTTTAAAGAGTCCTCTCCTGCTGATGTTCAGGTGTATGTCAGTATTTAGTGTCTCTACTTTAAA